AATTTGATCAGATCAACTGGGCAATATCGAAATTCACCAGCTCATTTTGACCAATACATGATCTAATCTAGATCAAATTCCACTAGCCTGATCACAACGGCGGCAAATTTACCGCTTCCCAAGAGTTCGGGCAAAGCATTTACCCGGGCTTCGGGTAAACTGATTCTGAGTGTTCCAGGATGATAAAATGNGATACCGATCGGATGATCTACGTGTACGTTTCCGATTATGTGATCAATTCATTTTTCTATCAATTGGATCGATTGGGCAATTTTCGGATCAATCTGCATGCGATACCTGAGGTCAGGCAGATGCTGAGCTTGAACTGCGATCAGACCAACGGCGGTGGTGCCGCTGCCGAAGGAGCTCAAGCACGTAGCTGTCTTGGCTCGATACTCGCTAATCCTGAGCAATACACTGACGGAAAAGGTATTAATTAATTAATTAACTAATTAAGTAATTAATTGGTAATTGGTGGTAATGTCTTGATGGTAATTTCTTGGTAATTGGCGGTAATTTCTTGATAACTGGTGGTAATTTTCTCGTAATTGCTCAATTTTAGTCGGGTTTTTTTTGGTAATTTTCGGTAATTTTCGGTAATTTCCAGTAATTTTCGGTAATTTCCGGTAATTTTCCGGTTTCAGGACGGCTGGAGGCACGTGTAAGGTCACCACCCGTGGTAGTGTTAAATGATGTTGGTGCTCACATAGGCTTGAATCTCAGCGTGGATCTGTCCTATAAGGAGGCAGACGAGGACGAACAAGTCAAAGCCGTCCTAATGACAGTCAATGTGAAGCTGCAACTTTACGCGAAACATTTATCAATACGTAATGTCTCACCGAAACATGTAAGTTGCCAGAAAAGTTGGAAAAAAGTTGGAAATTTGGAAAATTTTCCGAAAATTTTTGAAAAATGGTGGAAAATTCTGAAAATTTTCAAAAAATTCGGCAAAATTCTCCATCTGAAAAGCATTGGAATGTTCCTCCGAAAAGGGTTCTAAAGGAATGCGGCGTCGAACTGAAAAGGTATTTGGGAGGGTGTTGGGGTTGCTGGCATTCGAGCAATTGGAATGTGCAATTTCTATCTATGATTCTCTCAAATTCCTATGCTCTCTCGTTGGTTTATGTCGGGAAAATGAAAAAATTCAGTATAATACCACAAAAATCAGAACTTTAAGGAGCATCAGCAGTTGCGTATCAACACCACAATCAGTATCACACATCTGGAGGTAACCTCGGCGATGGCCTACGTGGATTCGATGAACGATTTCGCGATGAATTTGCCGCAATTTTTAGAGGAACGGAAATCGCTTATTGAGGTACCACAACAAAGAATTTTTTAATTTTTTATGAATGACCTGAAATTAACCTGCGAAAAGATTCCACCTGAATTCGACTTAAATCAGCCACTGAACAGCTGAACTATTGAGCTGCAAAATTCGTTTGAGGTATTGATTGATTGGTACCTTAATAGATCACTTATTGAGCTACCAGAGCACAAGTAATTTTTAAATTTTTAATGTTTTGTGAACGACCTGAAATTAGCCAGCGAAAAAAATTCGACCTGAAATTGAGTGATGACCTGAAATTGTGAATTTCAGGAGATTGTCCGAAAAAATTTGCACGTTGTCATACCGCTATCGGTGAACGATGAGTTGATCGGGGTGAATTCAGTTTACGGCGAGTTCAGGTCACGTACTCTGGTGTTGGGCTTCGANGAGAAGCTTTTTGAGCATTTCAGTCTGATGAACAGCAGCACTAGGTGATCGATCGACTGATCAATCGATTGATCGATTATCGACTGATCGATCAGTGATCGGAATTGGTTGAAGTGTTGGTTTGGAATTGAGTTGATTTTGATGAAGTCATGAAATTTTTCGCATTCATTTATTGTTTTCTAATCAAATCATCGATATTTTTTATATTTTGATCACGGTGTACTTTGCTCTATTCTATTGTATTTGTACTGTT